ACACACACACACACACACACACACACACACACACACACACACATACACACACACACACAGACAGAGAGAGAGTCTAATGAGATGAAGAGGCCAAAGCCAAGCCTGTTTGCATTTGAATGCAGGCAGTCAGGTGCAGAACAGGATGACATCTCAGCTTTCGCTCATTTGCTACTGGCCACTGGGATACAAAGAAGACTTTACAAGGGGGAAGCACTCAAAGACATTCCTCAAATCCATTTCAGTAGATTTCCTGGGTGTTGATTCCTGCACCACTAATGTGAATGATGCTCTTTTTATTCTCCTCTAGCCAACCAAGCACTCTTTAATTGATTGTATTTGCATGTGCAGCTTTACAAAGAACAATCTTCCTCAATCTCTCTCAAGAACATCAGAATGTAACTTCAGATCCTCCTGGAATGTTTTGTCCATTTGGTCAAATTGTCTGAGACCACACAGCTTTAAGTTAAATTTAGGTGGGTGTGCTTCATAGAGATCATCCTGAGCTTTTGATAATTCAGCCAGTTTCACGAATTGAGGAGATGATTGTATTTTATTTTTCAAATTGCTTCTTGTATATAGACATCTGAGGTAGCTTCAAATGAACTTTTCAAAGCAGTTCATTTGAAGTTTTCCAAGTAAGTCAGTCAGTTTTCTGTCCTCTGTTTTCACTGAATAATATTCTGAAATAGTATTGCAATTTTGAATACCTGTTTTCTATTCTATTCAATAGAGAACATGTAAGAAATAGTAAAGGGGGAACTGTGTGTCTTTTTAATAGATCAAAATCATGGTTTGGGCAATCCACATCTTCATATAAACCCACAAGGCCACGTAAATCTATCAGGATTTGGAAAAAAACTGTAAATCCTCCATTAAATAACATTTTATGGATGTTTGGAAGCAAGCAGCACTCGATCTGGATTAAATCATGGTGACGGGGACTAAATGGATGATGGCACACCGCAGTGGAACTATAAACTTAAACAGACAACTATTGATTCTTATATTTTTTAGGAATGAAGAGGCTGGATTGGTAACATTAATGTGGGTGGGGGCTCTGAAAATGGATCAAGGGTCAAAGATTACCATCCTAAAAGTGTCTATGACCCTTGGAAATTGATTGCTTACACTCTTAAAAATAAAGGTGCTTCACGATGCCATAGAAGAACATTTTTGTCTAATTTGTTCCATAAAGAACCTTTGACATCTGAAGAACCTTTCTGTTTCACAAAAGGTTCTTTGTGGCAAAAGAAGGTTCTTCAGATTATAAAAAGGTAAGAAAGAGATGGTTCTTTAAAGAACCTTTGACTGAATGGTTCTTTGTGGAACCAAAAATGGTTCTTCTATGGCATCGCTGTGAAGAACCTTTTAAGCACCTTTATTTTTAAGAGTGTATACATCAGAAAGCTTCAGCTCAGAATGTTAAATTCACATTTAGCCTGGTTGCCACTGACAGCTACAATTCCAATTTCTTCCCTGAAGTTATAAAAATTATATTTATAAAGTTATAAAATAAGTTATAAAAATGTATATGTGTATATGCACACATACTGTAAATATATTTTATTTAATGTGTAAAACTGGAAAATTAAATTAAAAATTACATATATATTTTGTTTACTATGCATACAGTATATGCTCTTCTGGGAAAATTCAATGTATTTTCTACTCATTATGTATCTCTATTCACTGAAAAAAAAACTAGACCAATATTTGGCCACAGAGAACAGTAAAATGAATAAAATGTGTGTATGCACCGTTCATATCATGTTTATTTATTCTAATGTTTGTAGAAAAAGCTGCTCACTGATTTCAATATATATTTGGACACTGACAGATCAAAACGTTTTTACATTCATAAATATAAATAATGGCAATTATCTGGCAAAACAGCAGAAGCAAAACTTGGTTTTCAGTCAGCAGATATAATGCATATTCCAGTATTCCTCCCTGTGTAACATCTCTAATAATTAATTTGGGAAAATAAAAGAACATTTATAAAGGTTTACATTGCTCTATTTCACTATGGAAACACATGTTTAGAGAATTCAATGAATAATCATCTGTTATAAAAAGAAAAGAAAAAAAGTGGCATATGAAATGCATGGTCCAAAATCTAAGCCATAGAGTCCACATTAAATAGCTAAAACCATTTTTACTGTAACACAATATAAAACTAAAGTGTTTTCTTGCAGAAGCAGGAAATTCCTTTTAATGAGCAAAAACACATGAAATAAATAAAGTTTATATAGCACGTCTATTGCTGTCTCTCTTTTTTCTTTCTTCTATGTCTAATGTCTATTACATAACAGTGGTTGAACGAGAACATCCAAGTTTTTGCTCTTTTTGGCAGCAATAAATCACAAAGTACAAATGTGTTTTGAGCTGTATCATTATGGGCATCTGAAATAAGGGACCGTTTAAGCACAGACATCACAGAGCCGTCATTCTATTCAGTCTGTTTGAGATCATTCTCAGTTGAATCAGTTGCGAACCAAATATATACTTTAAAATACATGTTTAAAATGCAAATGTATACTGTAAAATGCATTTTAAAATGCATTTGATGAGGAGGAGCATGAAATAAAAATATTTCAATGGTTAGCTGCACACTTAGTTAAATCCAGACTGGAGAATAATTTCTTTTAAATTTTATGTTAAAACTTTAAATTAAAGTGCACTGTGCAAGTTTTTGTTTTTGGAAATGTGTTGACTTTGCACATTTGTATTATTTGTATCATTTGTGCCAATTTTTTTTTCATTATTTGCATGATTTGCATATTTATACTATTTGTTGTTCTTGTATCTACCATATTTTCTTTGACGTCCACCTGCTAATTGAATCCACTAATTAGTAATCCAGAAAAATGGTGAATGGTTGTTGTAATGTGAACACTGAAGAAAGCAATGTACTGAGATGTTTGCTCATGCTGGTCTAGTTTTTAAATTCACTTGCACTGTGCACTTTTTTTGCATGTAGTTTATATAATAATATATACTTTTGTTAGATCTTTTCCAGTCTGGATTTAATTCGGCCAACAATCTCTTTGATTGCACTTGTAGTTTCTTTGAAATTAACTGTGAAATGTACTAGCAATTTCTGAGGGTACTTAGGCTGAAGATACTCAACACTAATCAGTCATAAATAGACAGTTTCATTGCTTTGTACATAATCACAAAGGGTCCTGCAAGTGTTTAGTCCCAGCCAAAGTCCTGACCAGTCATCTGGTAGAACTTCATGTTGAAAGGCCTGTAGAAATCCCTGAGTCTGTGCAGCACTTCTGCTGGTGTGTGTGGATGCGGTCGGCCTTTCGATTTCCCCAGGCATCGTGGTCTGCTGCTTCCTTCCGGCTTTTTGAGGCAGGGGAAGCCTTTAGTCTGGTTAAAGTAGAAGTGCTTATTGGTCACCACCCGTTTGAGTCCCAGAAAATCCTGCACCCGGCCCATTTCTCCCGTGGGGTCTGTCACCAGCTTCTCTCCGCTCACGAAAAGAAACTGCGCGAGCGGGAAATACCTGAGCCAGTTCTCCAGGTGTTTGGCGTAGATGCCGATGCTCACGGCGCTCCAGGAGGTGTCGATCAGACCTGTGGTGGAGTTCTTGAAGACCAAATTCTGGAAAGACGGCAGGCCGGGGTTTTTAGTCAGAGTCTGAGCGTAATCCGACACGGCCCGGGTCACAGGGTCACGGACCACCACCATGAGTTTGGTGCTGCGGCTCATGGAGAAGACGCGGGATGGCGCTTCACGGGTGATGAAGTAGCTGGGTGTTTTCTCCATGGTGATCTGGCCGTCTAAAGTACGAGGCATTAGATTCCTACAGAGCGAGAAAGTAAAAATCGATTACAATGGAGGTCAATTCTTTGATCAAACATGATTTCTAAATGGATTGAAACCCCTTTTTCCTTTGCATTTTTTTGTGTACAGATTTTCAAAATGATCCACGTTCACGCGGCTCAGCAAAAGTGGCTAAAAATGCTGAATCATGCATGCCAGGCCAGTAGTTGGCGTTGTCACTTTGTAAAGAAACACTACGAGCCTACACACATATGCCTATAGACTGAACAGGTAAACGCATGCAAAACCATTTTCATTATTTTCAAAATCATTTTCAAAAACTTTGAGACCTGTGTTTTTCCACCACCCCAAAACAACATTGTCGTGTAAATGAACAGCCAAAACGCATACATTTTTTCCAGTTTTTAGTTGAAAACTGTGTTGTATAAACACTCCCTTAATCCCTGTCTCTTTAAATCCCACCTTTCCAAAAAAAAGCCAGGTCTGCTCTGATTGGTCAACAACTTAAAGCAAATAAACCGCGTCTCCTTGAAATAGCGAAATCACTCAACCGATTGTTATTTGTTCTTGTTATTTTATTTAAATCACTGGGCTCGATGCAGTGCATTATGGGATTGATTTATTGTTTTTTTTCTTAAAGGGATAATTTACCTAAAAAGGAAGATTCTATCATCATTTATTCACTCATGCTGTTTCAAACCTGCATGCCTTACTTTCTTTCTATGTAACACAAAACAAGATATTCTGAAAAAGTTATACATGTTTGGAGTGACATAAACATGAAAAAAATTACTTTTCCTTTTTGGTGAACTGTGCCTTTAAGGATACAATGCTGCATTAGAATTTGGCCAACATCATGAACAGTTTAGACTGTACCTAAAATGTAATTTAGTGTATGTAGGTAGGTTTTGGGACAGGTTTTCTGTGGCTGCACCTGTGGCGTCCAAACTAAATATTAAACTGTAGTTTTAAGCAATAATGCAAAATGAAAAACTTTATTAAGAGTGACTCTGGAGACATGATAATTGCTCTCGCCAGCGGACAAAGCTTTGGCGCACGTTTTGCAATTCAGTTCATTATGATGAAAGATGTTCTTTTTATTATCAAATATAAAACAAGCATTTCTCTGATGAGGTCAGTGTTGAATTACTCACTCTATCCTGAGTAATGCAAAGTGTAAAGTGTTGTTAAATAAACATAAAAGCTGACTTTATTAAAAACCAGCCTTGTGAAATAAACATCAGCGAGAAGGGAGTTGGTGAGTTGCTACAAAAGAAAGAAAAACACGAAACCATAACAGCTCTTAGCAGTCATTTCCTGATGGGTTTTGTCCCCAGAACATCTGTCAGGAGTCTCTCGATATCTCCAAGGCTCCTTTGTGCTGATTTTAGGTCAGTTTTGTGTGATTCTCATTTAAAAGATGAGGAACTTGGTTCCAGTAATGGAATATTATCCTAAATATGCACAGAAGGTTTGCCTTTACCCGCAGTGTTGCTCTGCACTGTTGTATAAAATTAATAACACATTTGTGATCGCATACACGTGCTGATATTCAGGAAAACACTCTTGTTGCTATTTTTATAATTAAGGGCATTCTAACAGTTTTCTAATAGGCTTCATCATGCAATGAATGTCAGGGGAATGTCTTTAAACTCTAATCAATAAATGATCATACATTCTCGTCTTCTTTCTAAAGAACTTCAAATGTACATTTAATTTGATCAGTAACTTAGTCTTCTTCTATTGTTTTAATTAGAAATTTTGAAAAAGCTTATAAATATATATATTTTTCACATTGACATAAAAGACTGCATACTTTGAACAAAGTAAGAAAAATTGCCTTTACAAAGGTAAAAAAAATGCCTCTGTAAATCACTTTAAGTAGTCCATTATCACCTCGTAATTGGAAGGCTATTTTTGTTATTGATCAGAAGGTGCTCCTGAATTTTTTGACTGTGCTCCTAAATTCTTTAAAATTAGGAGCACAAGTGGTCCTAAAAAGAAAAGTAAGCGTAGAGCCCTGTAAAAATATAATTATAATAATATAATATAATTATATATATACATAATTATAAAATAAATATAAATAAGTAGATATGTTAAGGTTCATATTGGTTATTTAATCTCTTCAATGAATGTTCAATAGCTCCAGCATCAAGTGGAAATGTCTACACTAACACTCAATATTTCCATAGAGAACATATGCAGTAGATTAACTCTTCACTGGTCTGGGATGGGGTTTGGAAAGCGCTCTCTCTCTTTGTCTCCTTCTCTGACGCTGGCCATCATCTCTTCGCCATGAGGCTAATATTCAACTCTAATATGAATCATATTCCTCTATGAGAGCTTCACCACAGAGACAAGAATCAGAGGAATCAGGCTGACGGGTTTGTCGGATAAAGAGTAACATCAAAAAATTGGATTTGGCATTTGACCTGCATTGCTCTTAAAGGAACAGTTAACCAAAAATCACGACATTTTATCACTATTTATCCTTCCTGATATCATTCCAAATTGTATGTTATTATTTAAGGAGAATTTTTAATGACTCAGTCTTAATGCAGCACATGTTCAAACGGCTACCACTTTATAGTATGCTAAGCTCCAAGAAAATTGCCCATACAACTTCTGAAGCCATGTTATAAATGTTTTGATTGTGTTTACATGATGCATGTTCCCAGTGCCTGCTTTCAGGGATGTGATCTTGAAGCATTATATGCAAACCTTTTAATTTGGAAAGCATGTCATGGTTAATGTCAATGTTGTCATTCTCACCCTGCATCTAAAGTGCAAGCGCTGTTTGGCTATGTACACACAGCTAAGTGCATGTTTAATTCAGAGTAATCAAGTTAATGGAAGCCATAATGGCCGCGGCCGTGTCTGCTGACATCATGTTTACGTTGTGGAGAGCAGGCTGGTAATCAGCAAAAAGTTTGGGCTTTTCTCAATTCACGCCAGTGGCCCACACACTCCGGTCCACCCGTTTGATCTCCCAATCCAAAGAAGCATCGCAAGATAAAGCCCTCATTTAGTCCAGGTTCGCAAACGCAGCTGACTAGCGACCTCTGACAACCTTTGATCTCTCGCCAGCTGAGCACTTGTGTGTTTTGTTCTTTATCTGGTGGCTCACAGCAGCTGTTACCTGTGCAGTTGCTAGGCTAGCATCCATGCTGTTTGTTTTGATCACACCTAGCGTAGCATTAGTGTTTAGCATCTGGACCGGGAATGTGAGCCTGGAGTATGTATGAGGTTATCAGTTCAGAACCTGGCAACAATTTATTCCTGTTTACTGGTACAGAAGACACAGCTGCGGGTGGCCTGCTGAAAAAAATCACCTAAAAAAATATCAACAGACTTCATCCATTTGGCATTCAGTTGGTATTAAATCAATAATTTATGTTTTAAAATGCATTAAACTGCGGCCGTGTCTGCTGACATCATGTTTACGTTGTGGAGAGCAGGCTGGTAATCAGCAAAAAGTTTGGGCTTTTCTCAATTCACGCCAGTGGCCCACACACTCCGGTCCACCCGTTTGATCTCCCAATCCAAAGAAGCATCGCAAGATAAAGCCCTCATTTAGTCCAGGTTCGCAAACGCAGCTGACTAGCGACCTCTGACAACCTTTGATCTCTCGCCAGCTGAGCACTTGTGTGTTTTGTTCTTTATCTGGTGGCTCACAGCAGCTGTTACCTGTGCAGTTGCTAGGCTAGCATCCATGCTGTTTGTTTTGATCACACCTAGCGTAGCATTAGTGGTTAGCATCTGGACCGGGAATGTGAGCCTGGAGTATGTATGAGGTTATCAGTTCAGAACCTGGCAACAATTTATTCCTGTTTACTGGTACAGAAGGCACAGCTGCGGGTGGCCTGCTGAAAAAAATCACCTAAAAAAATATCAACAGACTTCATCCATTTGGCATTCAGTTGGTATTAAATCAATAATTTATGTTTTAAAATGCATTACACTTTAAGAAAAATACATTGTTGTGCATTGTTTTTAGCAGTGCCCTAACATATCTAAACATCCTTACAACAAAATAGATTCACCTGTTAAGCAAAACTGCATAAGCGATTTAGAAAATATTTATATTCTCTGGTGCATTTTATATTTTCCTACTGATGAAATAAATAACTATATCTGTATAGGATATTTAAGATAGATAGATATATAGATAGATGATAGATTTTTTTGTATAGATATTTCAGTAGTGATATTTCAACTTATGTTAGTGAAATATAAGTCTTTTTCATAGGGTGCAATGGTTATGATTAGGTAAACATCAAAATATATATTTTATTTTATATATAAGACTTAAGATATATTATTATTTATTTTATATAAGAAATGTTTGACTGAATTCTCAAATGTGTCAGTTTTATTTAAAAAATGTTTCTCTTGAAATTAGCAAAATTGTAAATCTAAATCCAATCAAAATCATAAAATGAAGCAATAAATGCATAAATAAATTACATATATATGCAGACTATGCATTAGATAAGATCTCAGGTCCAGGTCCATCACTCTTGTTTGAATGCCACCAAAAAGCCTTAAAACAGGTTGTACACAGACACAGCACTCAGTTAAGTACACACCAAGGACGGCAGGGCCGTCTTATTGAAAACACAGTGAGAACACAGGCTTGTCATTATGGAGCAAATGGCAGCTTCTAGAATATGTGGGAAGCAATTAAATGTCAGCTGGAAATAACAAGTAAAGCACCATAAAACTGCTCAAACATGCAAACGGACAGAAAACAAGACACGCCCTTAGGAAAGAAAAATCACAGAGGAGACTTCTTGAACATCTCAATTGTTTCTCCTACACATCAATCAGATGAAACAGAGGCTTCTTCTCGGGTTTTTCTCCTGAGAACAGATTCTAGCAATGTCTTCTCTAAGACACAAATGACAAAGATTTTAATATGAACTCAGTCACTTCTCATCAAGAGCAAATTATCTAAGCTTTTCTCCAAATGAATGTTAGAGGAACTATCTGAAACAAAGGTAGCAGTTAAATGAGTCAAGATTGAGATCTTAATTAAGCTCTGAAAGAGCAGCATCAGAGAAATAAAATATCTTAATGTTAGAAACATTCAGTGGACAGTGAAAGCCACAGGTCAAAGGAGAAACCAAGATTTAAATGCTCACATCCTTTAAAGAGAGAAGGTGGTCCCGCATGAACAGGAAACAGACTAGCAACAAATCAGGGATTACAGATGAGTGCGTCGTGTGTGTGTGTGTGTGTGAGAGAGAGAGAGAGGAACTAATTGCCCTTCAGCCTTTACTATCATGTGGGAAAATCAGCATTGCTGCTGTGAGCTTGTGTGGGTTTATCTGTGAAGCAGCAGCAGGACGACCACACCCAGAGATGAAGACACAATAACACAAACTACAACTTCAGTCAGATTTCAACACACTGCCAACTCTCTCTGAATTCCATCAGAAATAACTATCAATTTAACCTAATCAGCTGGTTATCACCTAAATACCTAAAACATCTCAAATGCCATGTCTCACACACAATATACTATTTTAAGTATTAATAAAATAATTTATATATATATATATATATATATATATATATATATATATAAAGAGGGATTCATCATCTAATACAAAGTCATTTCTGAGGCCAAGGAACTCGTTACATGACTAAAGATTAAAAAGATAAATAAATATTTACTGTAGAATAATCTGCATGGATGAACTGTTCATAATAAGCCTAGGAAAATGTATCCATATAGTAAATAGGGTCAATTTTCATTTCATGCTGATTCTAATAATACATTTATCTGAATGGAGATGTTGAACAAGACAGCAAACATGCGACACAGGCACGGACAGTAGGATAAATCTCCAGCTCCATTAAACATTTTTATTGCCGCTAACTGTAGTAAAGTGCTTTTATTATCCAATAAAGTCCAGTTGTTTTAACAGCTTTAATAATCATCAAAGGATATGACACATGGTCTTCTTTTTGTGCTGCCATCTCTGTGCTTCACAATTCAAAACAAAGATTACAATTTTTTTTAAAAATGCATTTACAGACCAGTTTACGCTGTTATATGTTTATAAAAGGAGAGAAAATGGGTTCATGTTCTCTGTTGGGGAAAAAAAACAGGAGTGTTTTTTTTTCCCTCCAATAAATTGTCCACATGCCACAGGGTGCAGAATTGTAATTGTAATGACAGGAAGAGAAACTCAACTCAGGCTCACAGAGAGCCTACAGATGCTGTCCTAGCGGAGCTCTGGCGAGCGTAGGCCTCAATGAAGATAACTCTCAGTAGAGAGAGGAAGCTTGATGACGCTCAGAAAAGACACGAAGCAGTCAGCGTGTAGTCTTACCTTACGCTCAGGACATCTTGTAAGGCGGCTCACAGAGAGCCTACAACTCACAGATGCTGTCCTAGCAGAGAAATTAATTACATTACAGTTGGCTACACATGCTTCAGACAGCAGTCATGCCGAAGGCTTTCCCCATAGCAACCTCTAGGGGTAGTATTGTGTAATTTTATTGAAGTATTATGTGAAAATGAAAGTAATCAATATATAAATCAATATGCTGAATTATGTTAACCCTGGATGTCATAGAACGAATAATAGTCTTTTCATTAGACAGTGAACCTTTCATTACAAAGTACACCTGTGAACTTGAAATAATGTAACAACACGTATAATGGTCTTTTCTTTCATTAGACAATGGACCTTTCAGTAGACAGTAGACGTAAACATGAAATAATCTAATATTATCAGGAGCAGGTGGATGGATGTGACGCACACATCTCGTATGACCACACTACCAACCAATGAAATAAAAGCCTTTTTAAAAAAGGAAACAATTGTGGCAAATCAGGTATCTACAACCAATAAAAAATAACCGGAACAAAGAAAAAACTGAAAATGACCAAATTTGGAGAGAACAAGGGGTATATAATATGAGTTGACAAACAAAGACTTTGGAATGATTTGGAATGCTGTGACTGTCTTCCCGGCTTTATTTCTTTGTTAAATAAAGTCTTATTTTGACATCTGGAACTCTGCTCCTCCACTTCATTGGCCGCACCCAAGAAAAATCCACAACAGTAGCAGCGCGAGTTCCCTTTTGAAAGGATGTTTTGATACTGGATATTTTTCCAGACTCAAGTTTAAAAATTAAGTACTGTATTCTTCCACTGCAGCCAACAAAATTAAAGTTAATTTGTTAATCATAATGAAATTTAAATAATTATAATAATTTTAAACATTGCCTATTAATATGAATTTCATGTTAAACTCGCAGCACTTTCAGTG